CACATCACAGTGAGGACAGAAGAGACTCCACAAACACCTTTGATGATTGGTTAAAAGTGGGTGGCATGCAGGCATTGGTGGATGCTTTTACTAGAGGAAGAAATCTACATCAGAAGAGTTCGTAGCTGAGTGACTAAATTCAGCTGTGTTTTAGATCTATTCATGGTTTCATCTTCTTTCGACATTTCGCTACACGTATCTCCAAGGTGTAACGATTGTGGAGTTTCAATAAAATTACCAAATAACAACCACTTTATGACTCTATCTGACTAGAAATATGAAAAAAAATTCCTACAAACATAAGAGATTTCGGGATGCCAAATAAGCGAATGACTACAATACCCTCTGGGACAAAGGTGACTGATTATAGTACCTTGGCTGATACCAGCAGCTGTCTCTCAACCGAAGTGCATTGCTCCCAATTCATGGCCAAAATTGACAATAATCTGCAGAGTTGTATGGAACATTCGTCATTGATTCGAAGCTTAAATGCCTTGCGTTTCAGGAGATTCGTCCACCTTGAACTAAACGTTTTCCGGACAAAGCATTATACACGCTATTTTTCACAACTTATACCCACCTTTGGATCTCAATGCATTTAATTGCACCTTTTTATAAATCTTCTTCACGGTTACTTCTTATATTTATGTGCTTTTGGTACTGTTGGGTGCACATAGCATCCGATTCTAGGCATTCTTCCTGTCCGTCACCTCTGTCTTGAAAGAATCTCAGAAACCTCAACTCCTTCACCCTTAAAGCAGCTGATTTCCTGTGAAAATGAACGAATTTTTGTCTGAATGGGACGTGAAAGAGGGCTTACCGCCGGGCGGTTTTAAGGTCCTTGCAGGCGAGGTAGCGCTGAACCTGCGTCTGATTGGTAGAGTAGATGCTCATCACCATGCCAGCACCACCAATGGCCAACGTCCATATGGAGTGACGTACAAAGGGGTTCAGATCAAAGCTGAATAGAAAAGAGTGGTGGAGGCGAAGAGGAGGTAGTAGGGATCAGTGTGGTGTGGGGAAAGTGTGAACCGTGCGTCTGGAGTGGGGTATAGTATTCAAACCAAGTGTGCAAATTCATCATGTCCAAAATGCCCTTTTAATTACCTATACTGTGTTTCCAACACCTGTCAGGCTCATCTTCAGCAAAAGGATGGCAATCGCTTGGATTTACTTATACCTGTAAAGTCTGTACCTCAATTTATGGTAGACTTCCCAGTCGCCTAAGGCACTGTCTCGAAGCTCATTCACGAGAAATACAATAAAATTGTGCGCTCTAGCAAATCCTCAGGCAATTCGGGAACAAAGCCACTACCCGTCGCAGCCGTGTAGGTTACGACACCGCGCTTAAACCTTATGCAACTTCAGGGCCTGAACACTGTGTCAGCGACAATTTTGTATGATTAGAGCATTCAGAAAAGTGGTAAAAATATCGACTAAAACAGATTCCGGCAAAGTAGTGGTCAAAGGACAAGCGAACGTACTCAAAGACATCGAGCCTCTGGCCTTCCTTTGCAATGCTCCAGACTCGGTTAATGCCGCCAACCTGTTGACAACCGAAGACCATGAGCAGAATCAGACCACCAAACATGACGACTGACTGAAGGACGTCTGTCCACACCACGGCCTTCATTCCCCCCTGAATTGGAAACAGAGAAAGATATGAGCCCTTTAAATAATTGGAAAGTTACTCGTAGCACCATGAGTGCCCATAAGAGGGATCACCACGACCGTCCCAGACATCCTAACAAACATGGTAGGGGTCTCCTTGCCCCCAATTATAAGGATTATTTTCAGCAGTACTTTGTTTGATCAAAATAGTGCAAAGCTGAGTTCGGTTGCACCGATTTTTACATGATTTTATTAAAATGTAGTTAATATCGTCTCGTATTTTCGGTCGCACAAAAAAACATGCTATTCAATAAAAACCTGTAAACCCGTTAATAAACCCTTGTCGCATAGAAAAACATTTATGTAATAATAAAAAATTCACATTACTCTGCCCGCTTTTCCCCTTCAGTTTCCAAGAGGAGATGACTATTGCATAACAGGAAAGCGTTACCAAGGCCCAGCATTATGCAGACAAAACCGAGTGTCGCCGTGGGCACGACTCCACTTTTAAACGATTAATCCACGGTACCTGGCCATTTACATGCTATTGGAATGGAATAAGGTTTTTATTCTCTATTATACTGTCATACGATGACTTAAAGTGGTTTCAGGTTAGAACCGCAATAATTAATAAAATTCTGCGTAAAACATCATTTGGTGCTAACTTATTTTCGGTGAAACAACGCACCAGGGCCGTGTAAAGCGTACCAAGAATGCCAGAGGTTAGGATAGACGCCGAAACGGGCAATCCGGTTACTAAAATATGTACAAATGTAATCGGCAGCACGTAATGAGCCCATGATAGGTAAAAAATGCCTGCCTTAAGCCATAAAGATTGTGATAAATGCGAATCAAAGCTTGTGAAACTCCTATAGATGCGGTTGCACTAGAGCATGCAAAACAAAACGCACCTAGACATGCTGAGGACAGAATATTGTAGTAAGAAACAGCGATTATCTACTCATTGCCATGTTTTGCTCGATTAATAAACGCGAATCTGCGGCAGAAAACTAGGATACCTCAATACATGACGACTCGGTTTCTCACATATAAGTCTAAAGTTTTGAAAGTAAGTCATAATTCTGGTCTACGGGCTTGTTAGGTGTACGAGATTCTACTAAATCCAAAAAGTTAAATTTACCTCTGCTTAACGCTAAGGCGGGTGCATAGAGGACTACAGCGATGTAAATTATCTACAAATAATTCGAAAAATAGTTAGATAACTTCGGAACTGGATAAGACTATTGACTACCAAGCAATATATGGAGAGCAGTTTTAGGATTAAGGATCAGGGTAACAACACAAATAAACGTCCAGTGCCTAAAGATCATACAATTGTCGAGGAAAATTATGCTAATTCTACGCTACAATTCATAAAGTGTGTTATGTAAGCGTACCATTTGGAAGCAAAACACCAATGTAACAATCCAACGTAAAACACGACAAAATCGCAGCTCTAAGTACTAAAAAGCGTTGAAATAGACAAGACTCATACCTCATGACCACTGGCAAGATTTAGTTTGTAAAACACTGGGGCGTATACTTCAGCAGCAATAGGGAAACTTATGATGTAACCAAGGATTAGGTTAAGAAACTCTAGACCGAATAAATAAAACTCCGAATTGTTTCCCATAAGTGCCACTGCCGACATAAAACTGGCCAATGTGCTTCCAACGATAGGAAGGAGCGTTAGCTTTCTGTTAGCTAAAAAGATTTCATCAGCTCCCTCACTGGCATCATTGGAGTCAATTTCTTTGGTTTTTCCGCAGCATGTGCGACGCCATAATTTAACAAAAAAGGATTTGAAGCCATAAAATACACCTACAAATGTGTACACAGCAAAAAGAAATGCAGCTAAGAGGTAATCGGGCCAATCTAAATGATCCGACATCACAGCACGGACCGACACGAGCGCCGCAGTGAAGAGGTGTTGTAGTTAAAGTAGGCTAAAAAGGTCAAATCAGACAGCAATCGCTCCATTCTAATGGACTAGAACAGAGAGTTGTGTAAAGCGGCAATTGTTCTAAATTTTTTAACAAACCACCATATAGGGTAGTTCTTATAAGGCAATTTGATTGTTTTGGCCAATCGGGGCTTCACATTTGTGATAAATTACCAATAATCACACAAAACTACTAGTTTACTGGTATGTTTAGCCATGCGTGTGCATCGAACTCTCCGCAGATAGTACATTCACTTATAGGCACAGCCTTTGGGCTACGCCAATAGCCTCGGCTCATCTCTGCATCAATAATCCGCTTTCCGCTATCGTATCATGACCTTTTCATCCTTAAGGAAGGCAAAAGACACTGCAAATAAAACTTTTGCATCATCTGTTATCGCATTTCTTCTCATATTTGTTGTCAGAAGCATTAGTATTTGCCAGGATTTTAACTTAAAAATTAAGTGGCTACAACAATAAATTCGTTAGGTGTAAGACGGTTTAAATAGCAAGAACAATCCTCGAGCAGTGGCTTAAGCCTTTTCATAAGCGGCCCATGACAACCGCAGGAAACATTCTTGCCCTTGGTAGATGGTCAGCAGAAAATTAGTAGCCATTTCAAGCTGTTTTGTTTTGAATTTTGGATTAATTAAATGGTCCGAAGCAAAACTCGTTTGAGCCGCGAACGATTTGTTTGTATGACTCGGTCATCGTAATGTCGCTCTACTCTCCAAATTTTGACATCTGGGTTGTTGTTGTGACTTCTGGACTGTTGACACGCTTAATATCATGGTGTTCTTCATTGTCTTAACTTCGTTCTCATAGATAGTTTGAAGCGCTTCTCGCGCTTTTCTCACATAACATCTGGTTCTTCTGATCTCGAATTTCAGACGCTATAGTCCTGTTGTCACTAAATTACCTGGTTCCTTTTATTTGCCTCAAAGTAAGGGTCTTTTGGTGTCATTTTCGTGAAATCTTTGTGTTCTTTGGCTATTTTTGTGCTCTTGGGTTTTAGAAGTTTTTGCTTCCTGAGACTTGGGGAGTTTTCCACCATCTCCTAAGTTATTTTGTTCATATCGAATGTTAGTGGCTCTCTTGCCGTATCGATCTTCTGCTACTCGTTGCATTCCTGTTTTCTTCTGCTTAGGTTACCTTATGCCACGAGTTTTGCAACCTATAGTGCTCACCGATGATGGGGCTGCTTTGGAGCATAATCCTTTGAAGCGACTCCTCGACGATGCGCGCTCCGATTTTGAGGGTAGAGTGTTGGCAAAACGTGCCATCTTTGGTCGTTATCTCGAGACTCGCGTCAATTGGCTTCGCATGCAGCTGACACGTGAGGCCGAGGCTACCGGCTCACTCGGCATGAATCATCTAGACTTCCTGCGTGCCTTCAAATCAGATTCAGTTCCTGAGGCAAGTGTTCTCCTTTCTATTTCTTGGTATCGTGTATCCCAATTTCCGACACATTTTGTCAACTATAGGAATATCGATTGGTGGAGGGCGATGGAAGCGGTGAGAGGACCCGGCAGCTGCCGCGAGTACCTCCGTCGAGCGCTATGAGGGTAATTAATACTGTCCGACGAGTGGCCGCGCGTTCCAGGATTAATCAGGTAGCTGCTTTAGTAAATCGCTCTGCAACGATTTGATGGGCCCCTCTTTCTACACAGTGCTGTGCTTAACACTGCCAGTCATATACTTAGTGTGTTCTTGATAAGTTCACGCTAATTGATTGTATTGCAAGCAGACTGTTTTTTAAAACGAAACATGTTTGCTCGTGGTCCGGTTTTTAGTCCGTTTTCTAGTTCCTGACTAGCTGTTGAGTTAATAAATAAATGAGTAATGACATTTAATGTCTTCTGTCCTCTAATGTTCTTTTGCCTTGAAGTTGGTATCAAATGTCTTAGGGTCATTTCGACTCTTTATCCTGACTGAGGAATATGGATATATTGTTTCGAAGATGAGTGCTCTTAAGTACTCTAGTCGTGTTAAGCCGAAACAAGTTCGCAATCGAGTCAGTTTTTGCATCGGTGCTCGTTGGTTTTCTTTTTATTTTAGGTCCCTTGTCATTTTTCAATCTAAACCGTTTTTTGCTTAATTACGATTATATAGCTGTCTGCATTCATTAAACCTAGAGTTAAGTGCAATTTAGTTCCTTTCTTGACGTGACCAGTTTGGTCGAGTAATGACTTATTGTATGCGCTATTCTTAAAAAATCCGTTGAAATTAACGTCATATCCATCATTTCCATAGTGTGTGTGCATGTTCCAGTCTTTATTTGAGATTTGATGTTCTCTTTTATGCTAAAAGCCTGTAGACGGTGGAGGTAATCATAGTGGATGACTTTTGAAGTGAATAAATCCCGTGGTTACGCCATGGAAAACTAGGCTAATTCAATATTCGTTTTGGACAAGGATGCCGCTGCGGCTCTATACGCAGTCTCTTATGCCGAATTCCTTCGTCCCATTGGGCATTTGGTAGCCAACGTACCTCTAACCTTGAAAACCTGACCTATCTACCAGCTACGTCGATTTCTTCATACCTTGTCAATCTGATGGCTTAACTGGGCTTTGACTACCCGAACTTTTACAGTCGTCTCTGGCATCAATTCTTCTATTTTCATCATTATCAAGTTCTGTTTGGCATTTCGTCTTTAAGCTTGAATGGGTAACTAAAATTTCCTAACGGTACGATTTTCGTGGTAATTGTGATAAATTGTAAGTTGACTACCTCCTCTTTGTGATGTATTTCTTCTTGGGGGGACTCCTTTTACCTTGGAAGACTCGATGTTGCGTCAAAGTTTGATCCACTTTCGGCGGACAACAGCAGGTACACAGATTACCTGCAATGGTATCTCACTATATTTGTGCTTTGTTCATAAAAGCCGACATTTCAGGTTGTAGGCAAGTGCGTTTTAAAGCTGGTAGCACACGTGTTATCTCAAATGTTTGTGTTTAACACCAAACTAAGAAGCATCAACTTAAAATTAGTTGCTATTCCACCATTTATTTCTGTCCATAGCAGGCTAACTCAACGCCATATCCCCCCTCGATGACTGCAACAACCGTGACGGAATCGACTATGGCGACACGTGCTCGGAGCAAACAGGCACTGAACTTGACGAAGGCGACAGCGGTAGAGCGCAGCACGGCCACTGCGGGAACGCGACAAGGCCGTCTACGTCGTGCCGCTGCGACCGCCGGCGCATCCGCCACACTCCAGCTCTCCTCGGCCTTCCTCTACCAATCGCCTATTCCCCAAAAATCGCCTACTACTAGCGTTTTTGATAGAGTAGGTCCTCTAGTCTGTTTTAATCGTTTTTTTTGGATTAGAGAAAGGTTTGTTTTTAGGTATTCAAACCACCATTTTAGGTCCAAGAGTTAGTCTTATCGATGAGCGGTTGAGGCAGCTAGTTAGATTATTCCTTTTCTGTGGTAAATGGAACAAAGTTTGCTTCTATTTTAATTTGCGTTTTCCCCACCCTGTAATGTCTGTCTCGGTTCCTTTGTGCTTCATTGCAGGAGCCTAAATGATTTGCTTTAGTTTCCGCCCTTGTGTTTGTCCTGATTCCGCAAAAGAAAGCCTGATTGTTTTGGCATGTTGTTACTCCTTTAAGCGTAAGAGCCTGACGCTCACCACAGAATAGTGGCAGAGTTACCTTTTATCAACTTTGATGAAGATTTACTCAAACCCAAGATGAGCAAGAATCTTTGCCTTGGGAATGGTGCAGAGAGTAAGTAATTCCTACCTACTGCAATACGGCTGTCTGCGAATCGTGGATAGTCAAGGTGGCATCCTCTGTTCGAACATTTCTTCCCCCCACATACTACCCCCAGATTTCGATTCATCTCTGCGGATGTCACCATCCGAATGCTTTTTGGGCCTGCGATTGCATTGTTATACAAATAATTTATGGAAAATTGAGACAATAGCAAAATTTAAGATGCCGACCTGAGGGTTGGTATTTAGAATCGCTTCAAATGCAAAAGGCAAGGCCTTTTGAAAACGCCTATTTATGCTGCTGGTTCCCAGTTCGTGCGCGAGATCCTGTATTTGGCGATGCACACTAAGGTTTAGTTGGGCCGACCAGACGGTGTTGCGGCCTAGCATGGCTGGAAATGCACCCCACAAAAAGATATGCGTCTTTTGGAAGGAAATTGGCTTAATTTTTCGGCACTTTTTTTGTCGATTCAGTGGTGACGAATTTCGTGATACCCCTTGTCACTAGCTTTCATGGCTCCTAGATGAGTTCCATTTGCACTAAGGAGTCATCGCAATTGGGAGTACCCTCATTTACTCTTTTTTTTGCTTCTAGGACTCCATTTTGTATACGTCATCCGGATCTCCAGTTGCCAACCCGTTCGCACATCTCAGCAACGAGGTCGTGAGAGAGATCAAAAAAATTATCAATGCAAAACAAATTTAAAATCGAGTTTTTATGTACTTCCTTTGGCTGCCATTTACCTTTTAAAATAATTTTGCCAAGTTGATACCTCTTAAATGTTACTACTCAAGAGATCACTTTTAATGGTCGTTTCATCATTTGACAAGTAAGGTTTACTGAGCCGTCACTGTTTATCAGTATTTAGACATTGCGGAACAAATCCAAAAGCTGCTTATCATTCGTTTTAGTGTTTTCTGTGGCTGTTGAGTGGGAGCGTGTGTATGCGTGTCAAATGGAATTTCTGAAATCTTCCTGTCATGATTTCGTTATGCTGTGAAGTAAATCGCGAAGCCGGAATGAATGGCGTATGAATGAGTTGCATCGTTAGGGGAATGGTCCGTACCCCGTTGCGCGTTTTGAGGGTCTCGGTTGCGTTTTTAATTGTTGTATCCCCTCCTAGACGCGCTCGCATTCCATCTACCAATCGCCTTAATTCGTAATAGTTGCTTCAATGTGACTCTGATGTTAACCTGCAGCCTGAGCGCCGAGAGTGGGGAACTTGGTTCGTGAGGTAAGGGCAGGACTCGTGTGCCAGTGCGGCCAAACTACCCTTGGAACGCCCTCCCCCCCATGTTGGTCAAAAGTGGCAGACCATCAAGGTGCTTAGCGTGCATGAGCAAGTGTTTGTCAGTGGTTGGGCTCCCCGTTCTCAAAGCGGTTTTGGTGCGACCGCATGTCGTTGCGCTGATCAAGCATCCACGATCAGGTGTCCCACAACACGTTTTACCAACGGATCAAGAACTACTGTTGTGTTGTGTGCTGTGTCGCGCTCGGGATCGTCACTGTCGTGCAGACGTGCGACCGTGTTTGAAGCCTCGACGCCAATTAACCAAAGTCCGTGCTAACCTTTACATCACCGTATCTACAGCGGTCAGTGTTCCACAGATAAGAGTGGATGCGACTGTCCTCCGGTTCTGGTTCGACGTTTTTGTTCACGAGGAACTTTTTTCGACGCCAGACGCTACATTAGAACACTGCCACTGTGGGTCGCCACTTCAATGGACGGTGTTTGGACTGGAGTGGTCAACGACATGCGCACCACTTATCACGGAGATTATCGCCACTTTAGTGTGCCTCCATGGCGGTGTCAACTTCGAAGCTCCGGTGTGACATGAACGTTTGTTTTCGTTACCTTCGGTTAACTTGGGAGCGTTAACGAGTCAACAGAGCACCCACTTTAGTCGTTTCGCTGTGAGCATGACTTGCACGGGATGCTTGTAACTGAATTAATTGGAATAACCGTTTCTTAAAGAAGTATGTAATTGCATTCATTCGATGTCGCAACCATAACTGCTACTTATAACCGATGAAAGTAGACATGCAGGAGGTAGTAATCAACTAGTTCCTCAAATCACCTTCCCTGTCATCCACTTATAAAAATTGTGTTAAGGTATTTTCATTCTCGTGATGAATTTAGGCCGTCTAATTGCTGCATACTTTTTTAATTGTTTCCCTACTGATTTATTCCCCGCAAAAATAATCTGAATTAATCGGCTTGCAACACTTGTGCATAATCCCCATCGAATACAAGGCAGTATTTTTTGTTTACAACCACCCAAACTCAATCGTCTTATAATTCTACTGCAGGGCATTTGTTTATGCTTTTCAGGATTGAACTTTCGGAGCTAATCCAAAGTGGTAGACTCTCAAAGTGCTCAGTATGCATTAACCTTTAAGCTGATAAATGTTGGCTAATGTTTCTCTTTCATCGTTCTCGTGGCGAGTTTTAATGTTAGGTCACGTCATTATGCTGCTCAAGTATCAAGAACCCCGCGTTTTTACACCAAGTTTGCATAGCAGGCCAGGAATTACTACTGTGCTGCGAGCTGGAAACGGAACCTCCGCACTACAGAATGCCTCTGTCGTACGGACATGAGGTCGTGCTGAAAGCCTTAACTCCATTCAATCAAATGTCCTGCTAATCTCTCTGCTATCGTATCTACGGCAGTCAGAATCTCCTACAGATAAGAGTGGGTGTGGGTGTCCGTCGGTTCTGGTTTGACGCTTTTGTTAACGAGGAACTTTGTCCATCACCGGGCACTGCGCCAGGAGGGTTCCACTACCGTGGATCGTCATGTCGATGAACGAGGCAGAAGCTGGATGGACCAAGGCTATGCACAGCGATCATAACGGGGTTCATCGTCTCGGTTGCGTGCCACCATCAAGGACTAGCATTTGCCAAATATTTTGTCCTTCTATATGGTGCCAAATATCCTTATTTTACCTATTCAAGTCCCACCTCGAAGCTGGGTTATGTAATTAACTTTCTTAGACTAATAATGCCCCACACTCAACCAATCCGGTTGAGCAGGTATTATATATCTCAAATCAGTAAAGAACATGTATTGCATACCTATGAC